TCTGCATAGCTTTCTGATTGGGACCTAAGGCCCTGGTGACATGTGCTTATGAGGGTGATCTCCTGATTCACAGGTTGCACAGATCCTTGGAAAAAGAGTGATTTCCCGGACAGGGTAGCACAATTACTCACTGCCTCCCTTGGCTGGGGATGAGAGCTCCCCTTGCCCTGTGCAGCTCCCAGGTGGGCTGTCGCTCCACCCTGCTTTTCCCCACTTTCCATAGGTCACGCCAACTGCCTAGTCAGTCCCATTGAGAGAACCTGAATACCTCAGTGGCCAGTACAGGATTCCTTCCCTGTTTTCATTCTTCTCAGTGGTAGCCTCTGACTGTGGTTATTTTTAGTCAGCCATCTTGTCCCCTCCCTGGTATTTCTTATGTCTTTAAAGGAAATCCAGGAATTGCTAACAACCAAGTACCAAAATAATCTTTCAAGAAGGAGACTAATTACAAAACCCAAGAAAAAGTAAAACAGGAAGACAACTTGAAGAGATCTAAAAATGCATAAACCAGTACTACTAGCCATGTGTAATTAAGTTTAAATGTAATCTAAATAAAATTTTAATGACATTTAAAATTCAGATTAAAATACTCAGAAAACTTTAAATAGAAGGGGATATGGTTTGGATGTTTTGTCCCCTCCAAATATGTTGAAATGTGATCCCCAATGTTGTAGGTGGGGACTGATTGAAGGTGTTAGGGTCTTGGATCCCTCAAGAATGGCTTGGTGCCCTCCCCATGTTAATGAGTGAGTTCTTGCTCTATTAGTTCATGCAAAAGCTGGTTGTTTAAAACAGTCTGGCATCTCTCCTGCTCCCTCCCTTGCCATGTGACATGCCTGTTCCCCCTATTGCCATAAGTGAAAGCTTCCTGAGGTCCTGACCAGAAGTAGATGCTGGCACCACGTTTCTTTTACAGCTGTGTAACTGTGAGCCAAATAAACCTCTTTTCTTGATAAATTACCTAGTCTCAGGTATTCATTTATAGAAATGTGAAATGGACTAATACAGAAGAAAACTTCCCCAACATGATAAAGGGCATTTATAAAAAACCAACAGCTAACATCATACTCAATGGGAAAAGACTGAAAACTTTCCCCCTCAGTCAGGAACAAGACAAGGATGCCTACTTTCACTGCTGCTATTCAGCATTGTAATGGGAGTTCTAGATAGAGCCATTACACAAGGGAAAGAATTAAGAGCATCTAAATTGGAAAGGAAGAAACAAAACTTTCTCTATTTGCAGATAACATGACCCTATATATAAATATAGAAAATCCCAAACAATCTAGATGAAAACTGCTAGAGCTAATAAATGAATTGGGCAAATTCACAGGGTATAAGATCAACAATCAAGAATTAGTTTTGTTTCTATATACCAACAATGAACACACCAAAGAAACTCCATTTATAATCACAGCTAAAAGAATAAAACACCTAGGAAAACATTTAACCAAGGTGAAAGACTTTACAACTGAAAACTACAAAACACTGCTGGAAAAAATTGAAGACTTAAATGGAAAGAAAGCCTGTGTTCATGAACAGGATGACATAGCAGTGTTAAGATGTCAATATTACTTAAAATGATCTAAAAATTTGACACAATCCCTATCAAAATTCTAAAGCCTTTTTTTTTTTTTGCAGAAATAAAAATGCCAGTTGTCAAATTCATATCGAATTACAAAGGACCCAGAATAGTCAAAGTCATCTTGAAAAAGAAGAACAAAGCTGGAGGACTCACACTTCCTGATTTCAAAGCTTACTATATAGCTACAGTGATCAAAACAGTGTGGTACTGCCATAAGGATAGATATATAAACCAATAGAATAGAACTGAGAGTTCAGAATTAAACCCACACATGTATTGCTAATTATATATACCAAATTTCTAAGAAACAAGTAAAAGGTGAATGAAACAAAAAACGAAGGAGAAATCCTCGGGTACCATGTTGATTTGATGGGGGAAGTAACAGTCTCTTTATGCTGCAAGAGTAACTGTGAGGGTTAAGAACCACTATGCCAGAACACAAGTGACTGTACAGTTCAGGCAGGAAAAGATAATGGGAAACATTTTCCTCTTTTCTTCTTGTCAGGCAACCAAAGCTGTCTCTACACAGATGGCAACTTACAAGAGAAGGTTAAGTATATTACAAATACAAATCCTTTGAATTCGACTTTTACAATTCAGGAGAGAACATCTGTCTGAAAAAGAACCAAGTAGAATACAAACAAATTACTAAAACCAAAATTTTGAAATGAGTTCTGATGTATTAAAAAATGAATCCCCAAGCACAGTGGCTCATGCCTATAATCCCAGCACTTTGGGAGGCTGAGGCAGGCAGATCATGAGGTCAAATGATTGAGACCATCCTGCCCAACATGGTGAAACCCCGTCTCTACTAAGAATATAAAAATTAGCTGGGCATGGTGGCATGCACCTGTAGTCCCGCTACTCGGGAGGCTGAGGCAGGAGAATTGCTTGAACCTGGGAGGCGGAGGTTGCGGTCAGCCGAGATCGCACCACTGCATTCCAGCCTGGCACCTGGTGACAGAGTGAGATTCTGTCTCAAAAAAAAAAAAAAATGAATCCCCTATTAAAAAGTTTAAACACTAGCTAGTTTAAACACTAGCTCACAGAAGAAAAAGATATAGGCACAAAAGGAAGACTTCCTACGGGCAGAAAGTTAGCGTTTAAAAATTAAAAAGGTCATGCCATCAGGGAATAGACAGCTAGCTGCCTGTGAGATGGAACCATAAGGGCATAAGACCAACATTGCTTTGAAAACTTTTTAACACTAGTCTGCCAAGGGACCCATCCTTTCCTACCTGTCAAAACAAACAAACAAAAGACCATTAATGATTCATAGGTAGACAATACAGTGGGAGGTGTAGGGGTAATGTTTTGCAAAGGTCATTACTGAAGATGATGGCTAACATTTACTGGCAGGCTTGTCTCAGTACTTTCCAGTTATTTTTATTTATTCATTTATTTTTTTTTTTTGAGGCGGAGTTTCGCTCTTGTTACCCAGGCTGGAGTGCAATGGCGCGATCTCGGCTCACCACGCCACCATGCCCAGCTAATTTTTTGTATTTTTAGTAGAGACGGGGTTTCACCATGTTGACCAGGATGGTCTCGATCTCTTGACCTCGTGATCCACCCGCCTCGGCCTCCCAAAGTGCTGGGATTACAGGCGTGAGCCACTGCGCCCGGCTACTTTCCAGTTATTATCTGGCTGAATTCTTACAACAACCTTGTGAGTACGTATGGTTATTATCATTTTATGGTTAAGGAAACTGAGAGGCACAGAGGTTAGAAAACTTGCTCAAAGTTTTACATAGCTGGAAATAAAAGAGCTAAGATCTAAACCCAGGAAGTCTGGCTCCAGAGCATGTGCTTAACCTGTATGCTATACAGTCTTTCTCCCTTTGCCACCTTCTGTGTCTACACAGGCATGGAGGTCTGTGACTGACTGAATGGGTAGCTGGAGATACAGACACAAAAAAAGGAAAGGGAGGAGGGAACAGGGAATAGCAACAGGATAGCAGCTATTCCAGAGGACAAACCAAGGATGGGACTCTGAGATAAGTACCTGAGGAAAGGGGGAAGTATAAATTTTCCCTAATTCTCTTACCTTGGAGTGTAATATGTGTGTGTGTGTGTGTGTGTGTGTGTACATACACATATATATATACACGCACACACATATATATATACATATACACACATATATATATGCACACACATACATACCAAATTTCCAAGAAACAGATATAAGGTGAAGGAAGCAAAGGACAAAGGAGAAATACCAGGTATTAAACTAACTTAAAATCCAGAGGTAGGGAGTAATAAGGTAAGCTAAGTACAGGGAGCCTGAAGTACAGGGAGTCTGTATCAATCCAGTAACATTCAGAGAGAAAGAAACAGCTTTACCTAAGAAATAGAGGTTTTTTTCAGTTCATAATGAAAGTACATTCTCTGTGGCAGAAGACAGAACACAGGGGTAGGTATCATGGACATCATAGTCATTATAGAAGTATATCCCAAACTGTGAGCAAAGTGAACTGACATTCTGGTTTATAAACTCATCCATTTATTTAGGTAAGGGACTAAAATGGCTTTTACATCTCTAGGCATAATAGATCGGAAGTAATTGTAGCATATCTAACAGCCCAACCAAAACCACTTGAAGGCTAGTTAACTCAATTATATTTAAAAAAAAAATCCCCAAAACTAATTCTAGACATATGTTTTAACATTCTTTCTTACCTAAACATTTTCCATAAGTAGAACTGATGAGAGTTCCAATAAATCACATTTTCATGACATTATTACTAAACCATGAAACAAGCATACTGCAGATAGAAAAGGAGCTAAAATAAAGGGGCTATATAATAAACCATAAACTAGATGGTAAGTCTGGGAGTAAATTAATTGGTTTGGCTGCCATCTGAGATAAAGTTGTGCTGGGAAAAAAAAAAAGCACATGACAGGGTAACCTTGTCACTTCTTGCTTTTACTATTTGTTGTCAAAAAACAAACATAACAAATAAACAGTATATCATTGCAGGTACCAAACATAGCCTTTTTGATACATAAAACAAACATAATAGCAAGACACCCTTTAATTATAAATGGGTATCTTGTACTCATTAAGTGTTTATACAAGTAAACTAAACCTGTCATTGGGATCCAGAGCTTTTCATGAGTATGCTCAGGTCTCAGAACCACTGTGGGATGATTAATAAGGGTTTGTTGCAAAAAGATGACAGATTTGAAGGGTTTTTCAGCTTAGGAGGAATTTTTTCCAACTCATGAAAGTAAACTGAAGCCTCTTTCTTGGCAGGGCAAGCTACTCAGTAAGAAGGGAGACCTCATAACATATTATCTGGACTATAAAAGCAAAAAACTGAGAGCCTTCCCTAGAGATAAGTAAAAGGAGTATACATCCATGGACACCAGAATACAAATAAGAAACAAGAATCCAAAACTTTTTAAAGGATACGGTCTGTGCCAGGAAACAATGTTCTTCCAGTCAACAGCTCGGCCATTATGCATCCCACTGACCAAATATCAACTGGCAATATTAAAGAGAAATAAAAGTACATGTGATGTCACTGTTATTATACTTGGCAACAAATAAAACCATAACTAGGAGTGAAATACTCAAATTACTATTTAAAACCTCTGAGCCTCAACAATCATTCTCATTTTTACAGAAATAAATGAGCTTGATCTTTACCCCACTAAAGGGCTGTTCAAAGGTGGGGTAAGTCAAAACATACTTAAGAGAAATAAAAAAAAAAAAAAAAAAGGAGAAATAAGCTGTTCAAAAAAGGAGCAAAAGAATGGTAGATTCTTCCAAGTAATATTGAGGGGTTAAAATTATGGACTCTTTGTCTTCAGGTATAAATACTCAGAGAATAAATTCAAAATCTAAATAAATAAAAACCCAGTTGCTAAATCACGAGTTTTAAAAGCTGTATATAAAACCCCAATTCCCCATCTGAGCAAGTGAAATGTTTTCACCTGTAGGCTTTAAAAGGATCACTGAGGAAAGAAAAGATATTTCTCTCCCCTCCCATAATCTCTACTTCTGAGAATCCCAAATGCATCCAACATAGAATTAAATAAGGCCCTAAATAACCAGTGCAAGTAATACCTGTCTGGTTGTAATGCATCCAGTTCAGCATGATCTCAGGAGCCCTATACCACCTAGTGGCCACGTAGCCTGTCATTTCATCATCTGTGTGCCGAGCCAGTCCAAAATCCAGGATCTAAAGGGCAGAAGAGGAACAGACAAACTGTTAAGACTTATAAACAGGCAGGGGAAAACAACAACAACAACAACAACTCTGTTGCCTTTTTAAAAAGGAAAACAAGATAGCACTTTTATAAAGAGATTTCCTGGTCCATGCTTAGAGTGCATGGTAAACTTACAGTGAAAACTCAAAAAACTGAATTACAAAAAGCAAAACAAAAATGTCACTCCTTGGTATTTAATCAAGCGCAATGAGAACTTATGGCCATACAAAGGTTTGCACATGAATATTCACAGTTGCTTTACATAGCCTCATAGTCAAACTAAAGCAAATGTCCATCAGCAGGTGGACAGATTTAAAAATCCTGACATGTTCATAAAACAAAATACTATTAGCAATAAAAAGGAAAAAAACATTGACACAACAATACAGAATCATTACACTAAGCAAAGGCTAGATACACAAAAATACACACTATATGATTCCATGTACATGAAACTCCAGAAAAGATAAAACGAATCATAGTGTTAGAAGCAGATCCATAGTTGCTTTGAGCGAGAATTAGGGGTGGAAGGGTGGGGATTGACTAGGAAGGAGCACAACAGACTTTTTAAAGTAACAGAAATGTTCTTGGCCAGGAGCGGTGACTTATGCCTGCAATCCCAGCACTTTGGGAGGCCAAGGAGGGTGGATCACAAGGTCAGGAGATGGAGACCATCCTGGCCAACATGGTGAAACCCTGTCTCTACTAAAAATACAAAATTAGCTAGGCGTGGTGGCATGCCCCTGTAGTCCCAGCTACTCGGGAAGCTGAGGCAGGAGAATCACTTGAACTCGGTAGGTGGAGGTTGCCGTGAGCTGAGATCAAACCACTGCACTTCCAGACTGGGTGACAGAGCAAGACTCCAACTCGAAAGAAAAAAAAAAGTTCTTTATCATAAATGTGACAGTTGAGTGGATATATAATTTTGCCAAACTGTACACAAAACGTTGCATTTTAATGAAAATTTTTTTTATTAAAAAAATGAAATGGAACAAAGCAAGTTCTAGAAATACTTGCTCTTTAGAAACAATTCACTTATCTTTTATTTGAATTATTTTGAGTGGATAGGTTTCTGCCATTTTTCCTCTTAGAAATCTATTTAATCTAGTTATCACCTCTTCAGCATTGCTTACTTGGTATTTGACTATTATCTTCCTTTATTATGATTAATATATTAAATTTCTAATTTATGTTAAAATGAAAACAAGTGATGCTACTTCTAAAGTAACTTAGCTTACTGAGAAATGTTTTAAATTTCAAACTCTGATAATAAAAACAATATGAATTTCAGATAGTCATGGCTCATAAATCTCCCTACGAAAGTTTGCCTCCTTAGTAGGAGGCATATAATCTCAAAGTAAAGCAAACAATGACTACTGTCTCTTCATTTTACCTTCAGCTCACAGTCTTCATTCACAGCTAGATTACTAGGTTTTAGGTCCTAGGAAACAAGTACAGAGACAGGATCAACTTTATAATGCATGATCAATTCTCTTCCTACAGGAAATAATGAGGAACTAGACATAAAAGACTTCATCCAGCTATCAAAAGACAATCTCCATCCTACAGTCAAAATTTAGTCCACGTTAGCCTTACATAGAAAAAAACCTATACATCTTCTTTCTTTAATCAGTCTAAACCTAGAGAAAAGTTGCAATCAATCAACATTTCAATGGTTAAAGTAAGTTTAGATTAGGACCTTGGCTAAATGCCATTCTTCCACCCTCACCCCACTTCCCCAAAATAATGTAATCAAAGACACAATACATACCCTGTGAATTATGTCAGCTGAATGTATATACTGCAAAAGAGAAAAAGCTCAAAGTTATTCCAACCTTCTATTGTCGTATTATATATTTGCTGCATATTTTCATGAATCAATAAGAACTACTAGTGTTAACAGTGAGATTAGAAATTAGCATAAGTAACTATCAGTATTGAGTACATTTACCATAACTATAATTTCCACAGCTATTGACTCTACTCAGTTGAGCTTTTAATCTATTTTCTGGTTGGTACTCTGGAGCTCAACAGAACTCAAAATGGCTAAATATCAAAGATAGTTTAATTTTAAAATACTGTTTATCTGCCCCTCCAATAAATAAATAAATTAGTCTTCCTCGATGATTTAAAACAAATCTCAACATTACACTGACCAGATATAAGATTACATCAATAAATTACTGTTTAGATATAACAATGAAGAGTCCTTATCTTTTAGATATGCATACTAAAGTATCTATGGGTGGTATAATATGTCTAGACTTGCTTTAAAATAATCCAGGGCTTGGAAAATACAAAAGAAACATAATTGGCAATATGTCAATAATAACTGTTGTCAATGAGCGAATATGGCAGTTTATCGTATATGACTTTTACTTGTGATTCTGTGTGTTTGAATTTTCCATAAGAAAAGTTGTTTACTTGTTTATTTGTTTAAGCCCTAAAAGGAGGGGGAAAAGGGAGAATTCATTTTTAAAAATTATTATTTATATTATCTGTACCTTTAGACCTCGGAGAATTTGGTAGATAAGGAACTGAACGTGGTCATCTGTAAGCTTCTGACATTTCACAATGTTGTTCAGATCTGCCCCCATGAGATGGGTCACCAGATACCTAGAAATTAGTGAAAAGTTACATAACAATCTAGAACCCCTAAGAAAGCTCTTATCTTCACAAGACTTTTGTAATTTTTGTTGTTGTTGTTGTTGAGATGGACTCTCACTCTGTCAACAGGCTGGAGTGCAGTTGTGTGACCTTGTCTCACTGCAACCTCCACCTCCTGGGTTCAAGAGATTCTCCTGCCTCAGTCTCCCAAGTAGCTGGAACTACAGGTGTGCACCCACCATGCTCAGCTAATTTTTGTATTTTTAGTAGAGACAAAGTTTCACCATCTTGGCTAGGCTGGTCTTGAACTCCTCACTTCATGATCCACCCCGCCTCGGCCTCCCAACGTGCCTGGCCTGACTTTTCTAAGTTTTTAAGAGAAGGCCACCCTTCCTTTAAAATGGTAGCTGTACCACAATGACAGTTAAAAGTTAACAACCATTCATTTTTTCTGGGGGGGGGGGTGTGCTGAGGAGGGGGCACCTCATTACCTCAGTTTCAACATCACTATTCTTTTTTTTTTTAGAGACAGGGTGATGCTCTATCATGAGCACAATCATAGTAGCTCATTGCAAGCTCAAATTCCTGGGCTCAAGTGATCCTTCTACCTTAGCCTCCTGAGTAGCTAGAACTAAAGGTGTGCACCACTAGCCCAGCTAATTTGAAAAACAATTTTTTTTTTAAAGATTGGGGTCTAACTATGTTGCCCAGGCTGGGCTTTAACTCTTGGTCTCAAGCAATCCTCCCAATTCAGCCTCCCACCATTACTATTCTAACTTAACTACCTGCCATCTATTCTAAACATTTCATACTCATTCCTACTTGACATCTTCTTCCAGGTTACCTCAAGAAAAAAGAAAACAGGACGAGCTTTGTGGCTCACATCTATAATCTTAGCACTTTGGGAGGCGTATAGGAGTTTGAGATCAGCCTGGGCAACATAGGGAAATCCCACCTCTACAAAAAATAAAAAAGAAAACAACAAAAGCAAAGATAGGAATTAGAAAGATACATGTGTCAATATCAGTTTCCTCAAAAATGTTATTCTTGCATGACAAATACACAGTATAACTTAGTGCACGGCTAGAATAAAGTATCTTGTAGTTTTAAATCCACCACTACATTTTTACCTCATTGTAAGCCTTCAATGTTATAGGTTCTAAAATAGGAGTATTTTTTGATTTTCAAACTCTAATTCTTTTTCAGGAATGACTGGTAAAAGGATTTTGTTCATGGACAATATTCCTGCACTTACCATAAAAGAAGGAGGAACATGTTTTATCTGGAGGCAAGATGAGGCATTCCAGAACTTCTCCTCACAGGTGTGGTGCTGGTTATTAATCCCATCTTTATGTAGTAAGATTAGGGAATGATTACATTCAAGTCCAACAGGTTCACCACACATATTCTAGACACAATGCCTTAACCCACTCATTACTGTATTACACAGCTATGGAAACATAAAAAGTAGATCGGTACTAAAAAGGCTGAATTTTTTTTTTTTTTTTTTTTTTTTTGCTTTTATTTTATTTCTATGTTTTGGCAGACAGAATCTTGCTCTGTTGCCCAGGCTGGAGTGCAGTGGTGCAATCTCAGCTAACTGCAACCTAGGCCACCCAGGATTAAGTAATTCTCATGCCTCAGCCTCCCAAGTAGCTAGAATTACAGGTACGCACCACCACATCCGGCTCTGGCTAACGTTTGTATTTTTAGTACAGGGTTCACCATGTTGGCCAGGCTGGTCTCAAACTCCTGATCTCAGGCCTCCCTCAAACTCCTGCCACGGCCTCCCAAAGTGCTGGGATTACCGGCTGCACCTGGCTAAGAGGCTGAATTTTTTAAAATAAGGGTGAGTTTTATTTACCATCTAAGAATCATTTTTATTCCTGAGGTTGGGTAATAATATATATCAGCTGAACTATGAAGAATGCTGATTTCATTTCATTTCTTTTTTCATTTTTTATGAATTTTGGAGGAAAGCAGGTCAGTAATTTAGATCTATTATTAATGTATTATAAGAATAAACATGTGTGAACTACACATATAACTAATACAATATATTTATTCCTTTCTGTCCTCCAAGAGGAATGGAATTTTTTTCTCTGTCATAATTTCCCTGTAGGGCAGCCATGGTCAGTTCTCAATTTCATGAAGATCAACAGGACTTAACCTAGTGGTAACCTTAAGGTAAGATTTTAGCATTTCATATTTTTAAAACTTGCATGTTTCTACTGCCTTGAGGAAAGAGTAGACTCTAAATATAATTTAATAAGTAAATGAGACTGAAATGTTCTGATTCAGGAGATGTTCCAGCCTCAACATAACATAACCAAAGGCACTAACTAGCACTTATTCTGTGCCCAGCACTGCAGTAAGCAGTTTATTATGTCCATGTCTCACGTACTCTTCCCAATAACTCTGTGAGATAATGTCCATTAGCATTCCCATTTCATTGACAAGGAAACAGAGACAGAACAAGGATAAACCATCTACTCATTGTCAAAAAGAGTAGGAATGTCAGGAGTTGAATCTAAAACTGTCTGACCCCACAGACCATGATCTTAATCACAACACATATTCTTCCAACAATTCTTTCAGCTAATACAAAATTTACATCAAGGGAATGGACTTTTTAAAAATTTGTATAAATGTCACAATAACTAGGGAAGCAATATATCTGAGTAATTTCCTTAATAATTCTCAATTCTGTATTTACTGTCAAAGTTAATCTTAACTAATAAAGAAGGCTGGCAAGAACATAGCAATATTCTGTCCTAATCATAGTCACCGTATTTTTTTAACCCCAAATAGATGCATAAACTGAGGAAGAAAGAATCCAATTTCAGTCTTACAAGACTGCTTTGCACATAATTATATTTTTTGACATTGCATAATAACTGGGTTATTCTTTCAACTTTCCTAAATAATTTTACAGAGAAGAGACAAACATAACTTACCTTTAAATAAAACCTAAAAGTCCTAACTAATATGCCTGAGCTAGTTCACAAAGGTGTTAGGCAAAATTACTAATGAAACCATAGCAACTTCAAGTACAACTATTTAAATGGTTACCAGTGACTCAAGAAATCTTATGCAGCCAGAGGACCACTGACTGCATGGCCCAAGGGAGAGAGCATGCTTTTAGTTAGAACATTTTACCGCTATGTAATTTCTCTCAAATCCTTCTCCCCTCAGAGACCATATCCATTTTATCACTAAAATGTACAGAGTGAGGGTGAGACTGCCAAACATTATGCAAGTTTATAAGATTAATCAGTCTATACAGTAATAGCTATCAAGCATTACTACTAACCTACAATGAAATAAACTTAAAGGCATTATTTATGGCAGAAGCATCTTGCAGGATGCTATACCTAATCCTTATACATTGTTTCTGGGAGACCCAAAAACCAATCCATGACCACCAATTGTTAAATTCTGACTCCCACATTGAAAGATTTTCAAAATAAGTCTTGCAACAGGGAACAAAAGCAAGCATCATGTAAAAATGCTGATGGTTTATGGAAGATGCACCAACTTCTAAAAATAATAAACAGGATGGAGGACAAGGAATGTAGATGAACACATTTTAAGTAAGTCCATTCCAAAAGAGGCATTAATGGAGAGTCACATAGTTCCTACAGTATTTGTTTCTGGAAAGCATATTCAATTACGTTTTAGTAAAGACATGCCTAATATTATCAACGTATATAATACCTAAAGTAAATTAAGTAAGGTTAGACTTGAGTATGGTTGGAAAGCTATGTAGTTCTCACATCTTTACAAAAGAATTAAGCAAACTGGACTTTATTAGGCTAAAAGTTGAAAAGAGTTTAATGGACTGATACAAATCTTATTTTTCACTTTTCTGGTGAAGTTGGTCTCCTTTAAATTTAATCAAAGTATAGAGAGCACAAATCACATTTCTCAAAGTGACTCCTGTCAGTATAATGTACTGTGACAGCAAGAAGGAAGAACTCTCATAAATGCTTTTCAGTACGCTAGACAGCACCCCATTCTACAGCTTCATTTCTACTTCTTGGGTAATACCTAACTGTTAAGACCGGCACTGCCATCCCTGCCCCTTTCCCCAGACCCTCAGCTTTTTAAAGCATAGAAAAAAATCAGAAAGAACCTATGTAGAAAAAAAAGTCTTCTATATCTATAGACTGGCATCTCTTACTACTATTAATCCTATTTAAAGCAGTTACCAAAAAGCCAAAAAAAAAAAAAGCATTTCTTACATATTTAAACAGGGTACTTAAAAGAATCACAGGGATTGACAATTTGTAACCACAAGCTTCTGCAACTCAGTGATCCTGGAGACTTATTACAGTCTACTCTCAACACAGGAGACAGAGTGATTCTTTAGATATAAAAATCAGATCAGGACACTCCTTTCCTCAAAAGGCTCCTTATTTTACTGAGAGTAAAACACAAAATTCCTTTCGATGGCAGATAAAGTCCTACATAATCCAGTACACTGCCCCCAGTTATGTCTCTGATTTCATAGTTTGCTCTTAACTCACTTCCACACTGGCCTCCTTGCTCCAGTTCCAATATATTATGCAGTCTGCCTCAGGACCTTTGCACTGTCTGCTTCTTCTGCCTGGAATGCTCTTCCTCTAGTTATTCTCAGGTCTAATTCTTCTACTTCTTCAAATTTTTGCCCAAAATTCATCTCAATAAGGCCTACCCTTACTACTCCATTTTAAATTCTATCTTTCCGCAGCCCTTGTACTCCTAATTCCCCCTTCCTGTTCTACCTTTTCTTTTTACTCATAGCATTATTGTCTGCTAACACACTATGTAATTTCTATTTTTATATGCTCACTGTTATTTATTGTTATCCACCTGTATAATGTTCATGGAGGACAGGGTTATTTTTTGTTCCCTGTAGTATCTGAAGTACCAAGAACAGTGTCTGATAGATAGTAGGCACTCAATTATCACTGAATGACTCAAGACAACTCATAGAGCACTACTAGGAAGACAAGACAAGGGCTCAT